GGCGGGGATTGGGTTCCCAAGTTCACATTAGTCCCCAGCAGGAAACTTTTTAAAGCCCCAACGCCATTGCCGCACACTTTAGAGACGCGACAAAGGCAGTCTGTGATACTCGTTGGCTACCCTATACCACTTACAAAATATATTCTTCGACTCGACCTCGTCTAGGTTGCATTGCTTTGATTGTATCCTTCACTGGGGCGATATCAATCAAGAGTTTGGTGTCATGTCGGGAGACTTCTTCATGGCGATAATTCGGTCAATCATGGATTGCTTCTTTCTGTGTCATTGTTCATTTTGCCATATTAATTACGGTTGAACGAGACGATAATGAGATATTAAAGGTGATGTGATTGCTCCAGTTGTCCTTTTTCCATTACTCGTTTTCAGTGCACACTCATCTCACAAGAAGACCTTGCTATGGGGGTGATCCAGTAGATTTACTGTATTGATTACTAGATTATCTAACTTGAAAGTTTGTTTTGGAATTTTGGCGCGAAACTGCTTGCAGTGAACGAGGATTCCTGTACGACAACGCTGATAAGTTCGGGCTATGTTAGTAGGGTCTTGCGATGAAGCTCCGAAAGTAAGGTGCAGTTGTTGTCAGTCAACATGTTGCAAGGAGCGTTGGATCGATGAAAGCGCTTCGAGACGCTATCCTCAAAGAAGCGAAGTCATTTTCTCGGAGAATTTTGGAAGTTTGTCGGAGCAGTGCTACCTCGGACTCACAGGCAGGAAGTCGTGATATTGATTCCTTAGCGAGCTTGCCCTTTTGCACTTTCAGAACGTAGCTGTGTAAATTTGGACATTGGTTGCTCATAACTTTTGTGGTGTAACTTGTCGGTTATAAAGAGTTATGTGTTGAGTAAGGTTAGTTGCATAACGGCTCGTCGAGAGCAAGCATAGGGGCTTTTGCGACAAAAAAATTGTGCATTGGTGTTCAGGTCCTATGTATAAATTGAGCAAATTAGGCATTAGTTACTTGAAAATGGAGCTCAGATGGGGATCGATATTTGGCCTCATCGCTTGGAGATTATTAGAACTCTCATGTATGCTTCGATGTAAGCGTTGGTAGATAAGCGTTGTTTAGTTGCTATGTTAAAACTCTTGTAGTTCGTGTGTCTGAGTGAGCAAAAGGAGTCAAAGCTTGCGCTTATTGACACTACAGCTGTTGCGTCGAGTCGTTGGTTTCTACGGCCTCGGTCTTGTATTTCACGATATATTCATGAACCACCGTTCCGCAGACTTGGATTTAAAGGCATGTGTCGGGATCGAAGTGGTGTTTCATTTTGGGTGAAACTCCAGTTCGGGAGGGGGGAACTCTATTGCTATCTTATCCACAGTTCTAGAGAGCACCTTTGGGCTATCCAACACATGGATAAGATAACAAGTAAACGACTCATTTCGAACGTACTTCTGATAAGGAGTGGTGTATGTCCTCCACTGCACACATCCTGCCTGCATCCTATCCACTTTTCTGCACAGGCAATTCTACCCTGGAGCTCCACCTACCTGGTAGGCCTAGGCAGAGGTGTCCATTCTCCTGGTCCAGGACCGTTTCCTTGGACCATGACAGGCGGAAATGATGATTATTTCAGGGGTTTATTTCAATTACACAACTTCAGAAGTATCCTTCAAATGAGTCTACTAGGTGTCATGAGTGCTATCGTCCTTATCTTAGTATTGGAGAACATTGGAGTGCCCCCTCCCGACTGGAGTTTCACCTTATTTTGTTTGGAAATTAAACAAGAAGTGCAATGAGGAGTTTGTGGGAAGAAAAACTACAAGCTTCATAGAAAACGCTGAAATTGTCTCCGTGAGGTTGCCGTGGTATGACGAAGAGATGCAGCGTTACGAGGAGAGGAAATAAGCGGGAGAGTACGTTGTGCGGGAAAGGGCGCAGACGCCACGTCACGTAGGGTGAGCACCAAGGTACGCACAGTTTCTTAGGGACTCCCTCCCCCTCTTTTTTCACAAGGATGGACTACCTTTTGACACCCAATCTCGACCTGTGGCTTGAAGCTTCGTGTTTGTCACGTCCTTGCGAATGGCCGAAGTGGCCAATTGGCCTTTCCTTGTGGGCATTTTCACGTGTTCAGTGCACAATTGAGTATCATGTCGCTTCGTCCATGTTGTTCACAATTTGCTTTCCAATGTATCAATTCCCAGTAGCTTGCTTTAAGCTGACCCAAGGAAGGTTTCCATAAGTTTCCCCATCCTGAACAGGAGGACGTTCATATATACCCAGTCAACAAACGCGTCAACATCGCTATATAGTAGCAATCTCAGTGTTGTTGTATCTTAAATTCTTTGACCACTTGTGCCAGTAATTTTTGTAACTTCTTGTTCATGTGATATCTGCCTTCTTTTTAACGTGAGAACTTCAAGGCTAAGTTTCAAAAGTAAAATTAATGACTTTCAATTCCTATTACTTTCAACAGTTGAACCGTTCTCGCTGAAATCCCCAAGTACCAATGATGGGAAATGCACTACCTATCTCGAATATTTTTTGTGACTAAGCACCACACTTTCGAATGTTTTGTCGTAGTTGATATATCAAAGGGCGAAAGGTGCATTGTTCCCATCTAATCTCTTGACACACATTTTGATGAGGATATTGACATACATTACGCAGAGCGGACATTTTGCAGGCCTCCATCTGCATTTAGCTTATTGATTCAACCATGTAGTCAGTTTTCTTGGAAACTTTTGCAGTTTCTTCATAAGAAATGTGTTATGCAACATAGCGAGTCAGGAATATTATGTTGTGACCTTTGTAAACCAACGAAGGGTTTCATCTTCAATATTTGCGCCAATCAGAATTTTCTCGATCCATTTCTTTCGGAACAGCTGAGGGTGTTGTGGCTAATCATGCTGAAAAGTGGGATCCGGCGTGGTTGTAAGGAGGACTCCTTTTGTTGTGTTACCCATAGTAATTATGGAAGACTCGTGTCGACAAGTTCTCGGAAAGGGGAGGTAAGTGTTTCGCCTGTTTCGGTTAGGATGTAGTGATTTTTGGGAAGATTCGAGAAAATTCCTAGAGAGCTTTCATGAAATTTCGGAGATTGCGGAGATTCAGTTCTGGCTAAACCTTCCCGGGGAGGAGTGGGGGGGGAGGGGACGGTATCATTCCGTCTCTTCGTCGCTCTTCGTCGCACAAGGCACCTACCATTAATAGAAGTTTTATAGCAGAATGTTCCGGGGATTTGCACCAAGAAGCAGAAACAGGTCCTCTTTGGGCGGAAGTGGTGTAGTGGCAAGTGGCACGCTTACCACGCGAGCGGTCCGGGGATCAAATCCTGGGTCGTGAGTCGCCCGGGCCAACCAAGCCTTCCATCCCTCCGGGGTCGGTTAATTGGTACCAGACTTGTCTGGGAGGATAAAAACACTGACTTGTACATCGGCTGGCCCCGCAAGTCATTGTATAGGCCACATCGCATTCAAACGCCACTACGAATGTACAAATGGAAGTAGAATGCGTGCCGCATCCCAAAAAGGGATTGATCAACGGCAAATGCTTTATCCTTTTATTATGTACTCTGCCCTCACCGTCTCAGAATGACGTCATCTTCCGTCGCCGTTGAGCCCAAGATGGTCGTAATCGCTTCACCTGAAGCAATCTAATAAATAATTCCTCAAATCGGTTAACTGATGTGTTCTAGGGCCAGTAGATTAGACTATGCAAGACCTCTTCCAGCCATCGTTTCAGATAACGTATACTATGCTTCCCCGAAGCTCAGTGATCCAAAGTTTCCTTTAAATTTATTTGTTTTGAACGATATAGTTTCTTCATTTTCAGTGCATGTTTACTTTTACCTACATACATACATTAAATGTGGATCCTTTATCAGGGCAATCCCAGTTGGGAAGACAGAGAAATTAAAGGACTTTTCGTCCCCAACCCTTTCGGGGGAGGACAGATACGAACGCATCGTTTTGTACTCCTTCTGACTAGTAAAGGACGCCATTCGTTACGGGTCCCACTGCCTCCTGCTACAGTGAACCCTTCAATGTGGAGCGGGGAATCCGTGAGCCAGGGGCAGTGTCGCCAGTCTAGGGGGGTGGGGGGTGAGGGCAGACACTTGACATGCGTGAGAAGCTGGAATGTTCGAATTCAACCGCGATCACATGGGATCCGCGGTTAAGGCAGTGGGTCCCGCAACGAATGGCGCCCTATACTAGTCAGTAGGAGTACAAAGAATGATCAGCACAGCATACGGCCCAACATGGCGATGGTCCATAATTCATCGGTCGCTTCATTGTGCTCGAACCGTGCATGTTACCGTGGCAATCTCTTCTGATTCCGTCGGGTTAGAAGGCTACTCTAGTTTTTCGATAGAGTGGAATGTGGTTTTTACTTTTCACTCTTCACTTTTCACTTGGGATCATTCAGCTTGAATTTAGCAAATGTGAATAATATGTCTTGAAATGGGAGGAGGAATGGTTTTATAGCTTCCCGGTGCGAATCAGAGTCAGGGACAGGGTCTGTCGCGAATATGTCCTATCGCTGAGGAGTTTATCATGAAGTTGTCTCAGTATATAGCAGTCAACCTTAGCCAAGTTTCCGGAAGAATATTCGGAAAGGTCGGTTTGGTTATAAGTGTGTGTTACGCGCAGTTGGCGTTAGGAAGTTGTGTCACAAGAATGCACTGTGAGTCAAAACTTTGCCCCAGCCGCGATTCTTACCTGCATACGAATCTCGGTTGGGGCTAAAGTTTTGCCCACAAGTCAGCATTCTCGTGATAAGGTTCGGAAAGCACTGTGCTCAATCTATTGAAAGCTCGAATCTATCTTTGCAAAATTCTGACGATACATACTGTTCACCATATTTGGAGAACAGATCAGAGTTTGGACTCACGTCACGACACACATTCGTGTACACGACTCTGCCAATGTTTTTCTCGTCGTTCATCTTATTTGTACAGATTTACCCTGCCATGCTATTGTTCTGCTTTTCTTTTGCAGGTGCTTTCCTTTTCCAATGTGATACCGTTTTGTTTGTTATGGGCCAATTCACCAGTTTCCATAGAAAAGAACACAAAGGCACAACAACTTCTCAAGCTACCGAGGTAAGAAAGAATCGATTCGAAAATCTTCGAGTGCGGGTCAAGAATTGTGGGCTGCAGCGTCGCTATGTCACAGCGAGCGCGACGCTACTTGCGATGCGACGTCGCAGCTCGCCTATCTTGACCTATACTTTTTAGCATGTATGATTTTCTCATTCCATCTCATCCGAGAGCGCAGCTTATTGAGCTTTAAACACATTTGCTCTCATAATTTCACACGTACATGAGTTTATAAGTATGTATGTGAGCTTGTGTGTGTAAGTTCTGCATAAACTTTCTTTGTGATAAAGAAGCCTACATATTAGGTAAAGCAACAGTCCCAGCAGGGTTTTTACCTTCGACACTAATGGTGTGGAACGATGCGCTAGCCCTAGTCAAGAACATAAGAAGTGTGACTGAACAAAAAACTCACCTTGGAAAGCCGCTAGAAAGGGAGCTGAACGGCTTCGAAGTGGGCGTGGTTGGAATCGGCCGAGGGGATTGCAGCCGACAACCACGCCCACTTCGAAGCCGTTCAGCTCCCTTTCTAGCGGCTTTCCAAGGTGAGTTTTTTGTTCAGTCACACTTCTTATGTTCTTGACTAGGGCTAGCGCATCGTTCCACACCATTAGTGTCGAAGGTAAAAACCCTGCTGGGACTGTTGCTTTAAGGTATTTGTAGAATGACGCGATTCCAGTGAGAATGGGTGTGGTTCACTCGGACAGAAAGCGACTTTCTGCGTTTCGCAGCGCGAAACATTTTTCGCTGCGGGAACTCCAGGTCCACTCATGATCAGCGGTGGACCTGAGGTTCCCGCAGCGAAAAATGTTTCGCGCTGCAAAACGCCAAAAGGTCGCTTCTGTCCTGGTAAACCACATCCATGAAGAATTGTTGGAGATAGGATAAGTCAAGTTAGCTAATAGTAGAAAGCAGGTTTGTAGTCGTGGTAAAAGGAAGATAAGAGAGAAGGCATATATGGCAAATGATCTCTAGATCTAAAAAAAACTAATATTCTTGTTACATTTTAGTCCATTGTTTAGAATGATGCAGCTCCTGTAGTACGACCACGATATGAACACTTTCTGAGCAAGTATGCCGAACTAATGAAAAGTAGAGGCCTCCTTCCCGAAGTTTTCTTAGTACACCAAGCGCCCAGGTATTTTTTATAATGAATTCCTCGTACGATCCTTTTTTGTAATTTCTTTCCTTTCAAGTTCTCAATATATTGATGAGGATGGTGACGTCGCACATGAGTTTTACGCCGAACATCAATCTCAAGATGGCCAAGTGCGGCGACTTTACAGAGTTGTGAATAATTTGCGACCAAAGGTAGGTCTTTTCGTATGGCATTGCGTCTCAACATAATAGTTGTGTCTATTGTATGTGATTTGTGAGTTGTATGCTACGGCACAGAGGAGTACGGGATAACGCCAATTAATATTTACTAGGAGTTGCAGTTGTTGCGTCGCGCGAGGATCCGTCAAGACTTCTATGCTTGAGGAAATGCACCTCTCCTAAAATCTTGAGACCGCGGCTTATCATTTCTATGCATGACCTGGAATGAGGCAATTTTTATTTCTGATATCTTGCATGAATAACAAAACGATTTCTGATATCCAAATAAGGAGCAAATCGGTCTACTGAGCGCATTGTATTCTCCTCTCAAAGGAAGCGATTACGACAAGGAAGGACCGCATCGTGAGCGTATATGCGCCATACGAAGCAGTTACTTGGCTGCCAAGGAAGCGAAGTGTGGCGCTTTCACGACGAAAGGTGCCCTGGTTGCTGAGCAGGACTTCCGAAGCACTCCGCCCCGAAAGCGTTACGCCCACTAGTTCAGTTGGTGACTTGGGCGAGCTGTTTGCTGTAGGGCTTTTCATTTTCAAAGACCGTTTCCCTTTCAACGCTGTATCCGCCAATTTGCCTACGTAATGCCATATGAATCAAAACATGTAAATGCTGCTTGTTGATAAATATGCTTGTTGATGTTGATAAATATGCTTGTTGATATGATAGCGGCTATCGGGGTTAACACGTCCGAACAACTTCTTTCTTTGTCGCCGCTCATTCATGGTCGAAAATGAACGGGCAATCAAAGGGGTACTATTTTGCTTATTTTTGACGGATTTCTTTGCTTTTTTCGCCATTGGCGTACTATTGAGACCCCCACGTCCCCTCTAAACCCTCCAAGGTCTATCGTAATCGCTGCCTTTAATCGTTTAGAGGTCTATTCCAGTTAGGGGGGGCATCATGATGCAGTTTCTCGGTGAACTCGAACATTCCAGCTTTTCACGCATGTCAAGTGACTGCCCTCACCCCCACCCCCTAGACTGGCTACACTCCCCCTGGCTCGGAGTTACCCTAGCTTTCTGGAAAAACTGCATCATGATGCCCCCTAACTGGAACAGACCCCGCTTTAGTTGAATGTTGTTGACAGTAGCAAAATTATGCGGTTGTATTGCTGCTGTGTACAACAAATTTGTGTAAAACTCATTACGTCTTCCAATCCACTATACAAAAAATTTAATTTCTCCTTTATAAAGGGCTATGAACGGTACGCGATTCCTCGACTGAGTCCAGATGTGCCCGTTGTGATGTGGGAGGTGGAACAACAAAGTTGATCACAATGCACAACGACTTCCATACTGGGCTGATCTCTCCAACTTGAAAAATGCTCGACTTATCAATGACTGGTGGTGTGATGTGTGCTCGTCAAATGTTTTATTCATCGTTGTATAAATGTATATGATGTGATACATGTTCTTAATCGTTTGCTTCAAACGAACTCTTAATAAAAAATTTTGACCGGAATGATTATGCTATAACACATATTTGACCCGCTGTGGTCACTGACTAACAAGGATTTATCCTTGTAATTATGACTATCTCAAAACCTCTGGAAGAAGATATGTAAAATGGTGTGGTGACCAGTAACGAGCTAGATATAGTCCCGTTTAGCAGCAACTACATGGATGTTGCCATTAGGACGACCCATGACACGTGTGTCGAATATGTAACTGTCTTGTAGGAGCTTCTCAACGGCTAAAGCCTTCCCAATCGAACGATCGATCCTGGATATAGTTTGATTAAAATGTCTGGCACATGGTTTACTCGCTGCCATGCACGCCTTACCCCTCTAGCGTCACATCTGCACTTGGGTTGTCGCACGTCAGTCGAGCTTGTCGTTGGCAGCGGCGTTCCTCCACACGGCTGGAATGGAATCTATTTTAGAAATGCGCTTATATGTGACAGTAAAAAAATAGCTGCACACCTTGGGCTGGTTTCTGATAAGTCGAATGCATAGTTTTGTCGGCAAGATTCTTGAGAAGATACTTGTAATGATGTGGCTTTGGCAGACGGCACGCTACTAAAAGCAAAACTTATCAAGGGTAGGAAACTTTACCAAATACTGCTACAGCTAGCGCAGTTGAAATCAGAACATTACCATAATTTCCGAATACCCCTTTGTATTCAAACCCTTCTATGTGATAATCTTCGCCAAATTATATACAATTAGGAGTATCAACACTTAATTCGAGCAGCATTTGATCTTTTCGAGAAGCATTGGTCTTAGATAGCTATTGGTTTCGCTTTTCTTTTTTGCACTACTTTGGGCGAAATTTATTT